TGTTACTAATTTTAATATAGAATAGAATATCGTGATTCGATTATTATTGTGCAAACAATATGACAGAATTTGTTACAACATCAATTACATCTAATGAATTGCAAGAAAGATGTAATATTTGGGTGGAATCACAAAATGAACATTTGTATTCTGAAGATACATCAAAAGATAAAATAGAAAATAATTACAATGATTATGAAACAGATTCTGAGTTTGATTCAGTTTCAGAATGTGGTGGTAAAAGACGTAGAGTAGGAAAATATTTAAAGCATGAAATTTTACATTTAGTATGTGAATGGAAAAATTGTAAATTTGATAGTAAATATATGGAAGTATTTTCAAGACATGTTGCTAATCATTTGAACGATTTAGAAATAAAGGTAAAAGAAGATGGTACAGAAGTTTATGTATGCCAATGGAAAAATTGTTCATATGAAAGCGGTATTTCTGATGACATTTCACGTCATGTCAATTATCATTCTTACCATACTAAATTAAAATGTATTGGATCAAATATTCGTCAAAGGGTCAAGTTACCTGTAAGTATAATGATAATTAAATAGTTTCAATAACATCAAATAAAAAACTTGCCATAACCGAATAAAATTTTTACAGAAATGTAATAGAGATACAGATTGGAAGAATATTATTGATTCACCATCACCGCATATGTGCAGATGGGAAGAATGTTTAAAGATTTTTTCTAATTATCAGATGTATTTGTATCATATAATTTCTCACATGGATACTAATCTACGTGGTAATAAAGTAGAAGGTGGAATTGAATGTAAATGGACGGGATGCAAAAATAAATATCCTAGTTTACATAAACTTAGAGATCATTTAAGATGCCATACCAAAGAAAAAATAGTTGCTTGTCCAGATTGTGGTACTATGTTTGCTTCCAATACAAAATTTCATACTCATTGTAAAAGACAAATTCCTATAGATGGTAAGACAAATATCAGATCTTTTATTTCACATTTTCTATAAATATTTTTCACATTAATTTTATTATGTTTATCCTATTACTGTAATGATTTATTTTTTAGTACAAGGATTTCAATGTTCGCATTGTAATAAATTCTACCCAACAGAAGGGATTCTTCGTGATCATATGAGATTGCATGTTTTTAATTATAAATGTACTTTATGTGATATGACTTGTGAATCTCCAGCCAGTTTAGCAAAGCACGTGAGATATCGACATGTATCGACAAGAACTTTTCCATGTCAGTTGTGTTCTCATGCTGCCAAATCTCAACAAGATTTAGATTCTCATATGACTGTTCATACAAATGGACCTAATTTCTCTTGTCACTTTGAAGGTTGTTCTTTCACTTGTAAAGGTGCTTATACATTGGACAGGTATTTTGATTCTTATATTGTTTCATATATCTTTAAATAACAAAATCATATTTACTATATTCAAATTTTCATTATTTTAGGCATGTTGAACGCGTTCATAGTTTAGAAATAAGATGGTATTGTTGTCATGAATGTCCTGTTAAATATAGAAAAAGTTATCGTTTAAGCAAACATCTTATTGAAGCACATCATTTACAATTACCTAGTGGTCATAAACGATTTCAATATGTACAAGATGAAGATGGCTGTTATAGACTTCAAATGGTTAGATATGAGACAGTAGATGAAGAAAATATTTCGTCTATTGAAAAACCAATTATTACAAATAAAAATTATAAACTTAAATTGGATAAATCTTCATCATTGGTAAAAGTAGAAGTAAGAACAACTATGTTAATCAATTTATACACAGTGCATATAATTTTCATTAGATTAATAAGTTTTAAATATTAAAAAATTACATTTTTTCAGATATTAGAAGATAACACGGAAGATGTGCAAGATTTACAGATAAAACCTATAACAGATTTTAATATAGATAAATCAATGCCTGTTATATCAAATATTTTAATAACTTTTGATGAAATAGATGAGAAAGGAAACATAACAAAAAGTAGAATCATAAATTCTCAAAGCATGTAAAATGTCAAATCATAACAATTTTTATGAGAATTGATATAAATAAAAATTTAATTTGATAGCTAAATTTGAAAACATAAATAAATTTTTCAAATAATAACTTAAAATAAATAATTTGTGATTATTTTTTTTTTTCTTAAATATATTAAAGATACCGAAGAGTTTTGGTATTTTAAATCTTTTAATTACCATGGTTACAGTATGTGTTTTTAATTTTAATTTAAGTTTAGTTAGCAAATGAAAATGATGCTATTGGTTACATATTTTTATTTGAGGTCTTATAATAAAAACGTAAGAACTTTCTGGTTTCATATATATAAATGTATTTATTAATTGTTGATATTTAAAAGTCGTTTTATGATAATAATTTTAACAAATTACATAAAGTGAATAAAGTGAACTTCTTTTTTGCTTGCTACAATTAAACAATCTGTGAAATGTGTACTTATATTTAACGATACGATTGGTTCTTTACCTACTATTATTAACCTTGCTATACTAAATTTCAAATGTAGCTTGTTCCAATTGTTCACATAATATATATAAACATGACCTAAAAATATATGCATATACACATATACATTTTTAATATAATATAATTAACGCATAAAATATTTTTTTGTTTTTAAGAATTAATAAAATGCATTAACCATACTAAACAAATACAAAACAATTTACCTGTCTCTATACCTAATATAAGAAGGCTTCCATAAATAAGAACAGCAGTGGGCCTTCCATGAAATATGGAAAGTGCATCGAAAAACTTCCACTTTTTACCATAAATAGAAAATCCTATGGATCCATATTCTAAAAATAAAGAAAAAAAAAGGTTAATTTGACAATATTTCATTATCTTTATCGACTTTACCTGTAATGCATACTGCTATATCAGTAAACATATAGTAGTTACGGATAGGTATACTTGGTGGTTGTATATATTTTGTTATAAATAATTCTTTATCTTCTGCGAATAATCCATAGAAAAAATTACCTTCTTCTGTGTAAAAGCAAACCTATTAATAAGAGATTTATTAAAAATAACAAAGTTTGGAAAACATTGTAATACATACTTCAAAAAGAATTGTGGCCAATGCCTAGGACAAGCTCACATTCCCTGAAAGTCCTACTTTCCCTATAACATATATATTTTAGATATTTTATCTTTGTTAAATACCTTATTACAATCTGCAGTACCAGCAACAATGTGATTAACGGGAAGTTCATACGAAGTTTTAGGTATACATCCTTGGACAATTAAAATATTCTCTATAATAGTGTAGCAATAACTTTGACTTGTACTGTGTAAAGGTATTGTAATGAAGCGATTAAGTGGAAGAAACATTAGTTCTATCTTTATAAATGTCTGTGATATTATTAAATAATAAGTTTTCTTACCATAGCAATTTTCCACGATCCTTTAAAATAAGATTTTTAGATTGAAAATCCCAGAATTTTATATGATCATTTATAGAAGAAGATGCAAGAATAATTTTTTTACCTACAAAATACAATTACAAATTAAAAGATTTTATACATAATTATAAAAATTAAAAATACTTTTAGAGCATAATGCATTCTTATATTAACATACTATTTTTCAAGAATTTAACTTTGAGTACAGATTCCATATGATTTGCTACACACATTGATTTATTACTTAAATCATCAGTATTGAACAAATAAATATATCCTTTCGATGTGCCTATAGCCAAAATATTTCCTATAAAAAATAGTTATCTCTTAAAATGGTAAAAAGAATAGAGAAACTATTCCAAATAATTGTATATATATGTTATTTTACCTAGTACTGCGATACAGGTAATAAATTCTAGACATTGATCTTTTGGCAATGGATACAAAGTATCAATAAAAATATCACAAGTTATTAATTGCTTGCATTTAAACCACCATTTATACATATTCATCCATATTTTTTCTTTTTTACTTGCATTTATCAAATCAACATATGATCTATTAGGATATAATGTTTCAAACAGTAATTTCCATTCATTTTGTGGTATTTCTTCCTTACATTTTGTATACCACAAATCGCTTTCCTAAAATAATCAACCTGACGGAAGTAGTATAGTGAAATTACTATTAAATTATATTAAATGTATCAATTAATTCGATGCCTTTTAAACAAATTTAGTATTTATTTTTAGAGTAATTATACATTTATTATTCTTTGAAATAGTCCTCATTATTCTTGATAACTTTGGTGCATTTTTCAGGCAACCGGCAAATTCCTTGATGAAAATAAGGATGATGATTTTGATGCAATGAATTTTATATCAAGGCACCGAATTCATTGCTATATCAAATATAAACAGTCTTATAAAATAACAATTTTTGTTTACTAAGAAGATAAATGTTTACTTTTAAGATGTTATTAATAATTTCTCTCCAAGAATTACACACAATTTTTATCCTAGTTAAATTTATTGGATCAATATATGAAAATATTTGTTCCCAAATTTCTATGGGAAGTGCCATGTTTTACTTTGTTTTAATTCACTCGAGTAGGTGATGTTCTTTTTTTGTGTTCTCGTTAAAAGTGCAGAGCCTGAAACAATTGTTGGTTTAGAAATGCTTAATGAAAATTGGCATTAGTAACAATATGAGTTTAGTTCTATATATTTCTGAAGCATTTCGTACAGGTGGCAATTGTGATCCTTGTAGGTGAAAAAATTGTTGCTATGGTGAACCATGATTATTATGCATACAAAATTCAACTAAATTATCTTATATGATACTAATTATAATTACATACAATGTATACAAAATCGAAAAAAAGGCAAATGCTTTATATGCGCTTATAGTTCATGCAGATAGTTTTCATCGGATACATATTATACATATGAATAATCTACATCGATAGTTTCCACTGAACCTTTTAACCAAACAAACATTGGACAAACAACACAGGAAAGTTAATTCCTAGCAGTAAATGTTGCAGCGATTAATTACGTCATCTTAAATCTAGGGACTTTAGTCTTAGCTAGGTGCATTGTAAGAATAGTTGAATGGGAGCCACGTGTATAGAATTAAAAAAGTTGATATCATAACCATTTAATAGTGCAAGGTATTTTTTAAGCAATAAAGATGAATCCTAATAAATCCAAATTATCAAAGAGTATTTTAGAAATGAAGGTATGTTAGATTTTGTTTATGATTTAATTTTTATATTTAAATGTATTAAAATAATGATAATTGAATGAGTCTACATATGATACAATACCTGAATTACAAAAATTGAATTATTTTCTTTTAATACTTACTGTTTAATGATAAGTAATGATAATGATTTAAACACACATTGGATAATGTGTTTTATGTATATTTATATTTATTAAAAATAATATTTATAGTTTATGAGGAGGACAAAAGAAAAAGTTGAAAAACAGATGATAGAGAAAGAAGGAGAAGAATACTTTGGTGGTCAATTTTCAATTAAAATAAGCAGTAAATCGTATGTATTTTTTAATATATTGCAATATAATTTTTCTAATCAAATTTATACATGTATATATTTTAAGATGATTATATACATATAACACTTATATTTTATTTCAGTGATCAGTTTATCATTGAACCTAGTTATGTGGTTTGTGAAGAACTGATTGAAGGTAGACTAAGTTTCAATGGTATGAATCCTGAATTAGAAAAATTATTAGAAGAGGAAGAAATTAATAAACAAATGGAATTGGAGAAAAAACTAGAAACAGATGTAACGGATGAACAAATGGCAGATAAATGGTTATCGCTTAGAAAGGTAAAAAGAAACTTTAAAAGGCCAAAACAGACAGTAAATAAAACTGGTCAAATTCCGAAGAAAAAGGCAAAATTTTTAAAACCAGTTGATTAATCTTTTTTTAAAAATTAATAAATATTTTATTCCCTTCATTTATACGGTCATTGGTTTTACGAAAACAATACATAAATGGAACCATGAAAAGTCATTTAAAATAAGGATCCGTTCTAAATTTTCAAATACGTATTTAACTTTTACTGAGGTAGAAAAATAAGTTTACATAATTACGAAATAAATTATACTGTGGAATCATATTTTTTTTACATAACTCATTGTGACATATGGTATCTCAAGTGCATTAAAGTAAATCTGTATAAATGGAGACCATTTAAATGAAGGGATTACTGTATATATAGATTATTAAAATACATATTTAAATAACTGCATTTAATTATATTATAGCAAAGTCACTGTAAATATGTATAAGTATATAAAATAAGTATTTTATTATTAAGGATTTATTATTATTATTAATATACTTGATATTTTATATATACTTTCACAAAGAATTTGTAGGTCCATCTAACAAAGTAATAAAAGTATCAACGCATACACCTTCATTACCATCCTTTTGAATTGCTTTCTTCCAAAGTATATTAAAAGTGTTATTAAGAAAATTAATTCCAATATTTTCAAATATATTTCGTATTTCTTCTTTACTTCGAAGCTTTAAACATTTTTATTAGATATTACGAATAAAATAAGTTTAATGAACATAATATAATTTTAAACTCTATAATTTAGTTACCAATACCTTGAAAAAATCTATATGATTCAGATTATATTTTGTAAAAGTACTGGGAAAAATTAAAGCGTAAGCATTGTCAATCTTTGAATATAACTTTTCATTACAAGGATAATATTTAGACGGAGTTATGCAAGATTTATTTTTATCATCGTTTAAATTTGATATTACTTCTTCCTTACTTTCTGAAATATCTAATAATTTTTATTAATGGAATAATTATTTATAGCTAGCGCATTATACACATGCACACTAAATAAACCTTTTATTAATACTTTTTGGTTTTGGCAATGTAGGAAATGGACGTTTCCAATTTAGAAGATCTACTACGTTGTTATAAAAAAGTTTATTATTTCGTCGAAATCCTAAAAGATCTAATAATCCCTCAAATAATTCTCTTTCGGGATAAATCTTGTATTTCTTCAAAATTGTAAATACATCTTCTTCCGATAAGATACCAGTGTGTTCCTGAAAATAAAAGAGAAAGTTAATGTATTTACTGTGTATTTTGTTGTAATTAATTGTTCCTACTATGACGCTGAAGTCTAATCTGTGGATCTAGGTCTCAGTGAAAAGAAAATCTTTCCATTTAAGGAAAGTGAGAGGAGGAAGAAGAGAAAGGAAAAATGAACGAATGAGACTCTTGGTCAATTTTTTATGACAGTGAAGATATTTGTCTAGTTCGACATTGTCAAAGGGAAGGTCGGTTTGTTGGACAATAGCGTGAATCAAAACCTCTTAAGATATGACATGACACAGTAAGTTTGTTCTCGGAATTATATATATTTTCATGTTATTGTTAATTATAAGTAATCATATAAGTATCATTACCTTGTCCAAGCAGACTAAATCTTCATAAATATCAAAGTAATCGGTACTGGAAATACGTTTTTTAAGATTATCACGTAAGTTACGCAGATATTGTAAATATTTCCATTTTAAGATCGATGTATTATCCATAGGTGATTCTTGTAACGTATCAGCTACTGAATCTACTTGTTTTTCCGAGGGTTTCCCATATACAGTCGTTAAAGATAAACATTTTGTTTTCGGATTTCTTTATGAATTTTCCATGATTTTTTGCATATTATATTATATTTAATTATTAATTAATTATTATAATAATTATGTTATTTATATTACTTTACTTTTGTCCAAGAAGCAATTGCGTGTTTTTTAAGAAATCGGCTTGAATGTAATTGAGTAATGTGGTAGTACTATAATCTTTACTTTGTATAATCATTTTAATTCTAGATCCTCTTTCATCAGCATTACTTTTTTTTCCGAAACAGGTATGTTTGTTAAAATGGCAATTATAACTATGTAAAAAATATAATTATTTTTACTAACTTTTCAAGATGTTAATATATAAAAAATGATTATATAATATTAATAATATATAAAATTTCAAATACGTAATAAAATATCATTTTTAAGTTTTCAATCTAACACGAGGAGGGTTGGAAAGTTTTGAGCCTAACACGATGTAGAAAATCATAAAGCTGTATTTTTTTAAAAGATGAATTTTGAATTATTTGACTTTAAATAGTCTAAGTATACTTTCTAAAATTATATCGATAATATTACTTCCTAATAATTTGTGTTTCTTCATTTTGTTGATTTATTTTTTCAAATCTACAGTGATCAACATCAGTGTGCATTATCGGTTTAGTATCAATTTCGGGAGGATTGATTAATTCTGCCATTGTTGTTTCTGGTAAATAGATAAATTTTTATTTATTTTTTTTATTTTCATAACAACCTTCAATTGAAATTTTGTATTTTTTTCTACTATAATAATAATAATAATAATATCATGCGTCCAATCAAATTGAATTACATCTTTGACGCAGTATAATAAAAACAATTTTAAATTAATATAGGATCGTTTTTTAAATTGGTTTGAAAAGTATATATTTTTTTTTCATGCGGAACCATACCAGATTTATATTTTTTTCCGAAAGTTGTTTTTAACGGATTCATACCGATTGGTAGATATGGTACTAAATAGTGAGTTTTCCCAACTTCTTTGTTCCAATAACTTTTCATTACAGTATTTTTCAACTCCGAGACAAGTGTTTGGAATGGCGTTAATAATTGATATTGTAAACATTCTTTTACCTATGAATTAACATTTTTATTATTTCATTTTCTATAAATTTATCCTAACCTAACCGTATATAATCTCATGTGGTCAATATTCGATAATGTAATTTATTGTATGGTTTCACCTACAGTTAGAAGCATTCGCTTCTTTAGAGACATTAGAGTTTTACTTTTAACAGAGTTAGAAAATAGAAAACTATAATAATAATAATTCATGTTATATTAAAAATAATTGTAACTTACGGTCGCGTTAGAATTCGAATTTTTGTTATATAAGGAATTAGGTTTTTCCGTTAAAGAATAAAACGATTTCGCGTTAGAGTTCGCCATTATTATATTTATTTTTTAAAATGATAATTAATAGAAAATATTTATGAATATTAACAGTAAATTGGTAGATAATATTTTATTAAAACAAAAGAAAGAAACATTGGTACGCGGATAATGCATATTATTATTTTATTCGGTCTATTATTCTGAATATAGATGTAATTAGAATTATATTATAATTATTTAACGTATCATATAACGTACCTATATATACGTATACTTTTACTTTTTATTATATATGCAATAATCAAATAAAATTAAAATGTACAAATATTATATATATACATATATATTATAAATCGAAAAACAGATCAAAATTATTCATTAGTATTAATTGTACGAAAACATATTATAAAATCTGCCGTGAGGAAATAAGCTTATATTGTAGCGTGTTTTATTTTACTAAGTACTACAATACATTTTTAATTCTTAATGAAAATAAAAGATGTGATTGTGCAATATATTAAAAAAAAAATAAAAAATATAAAAATAAAAAGAATCGTGCATATGAATTAAAAATAAGAAAGTAAATTATAAAACCGGTTTGCTTTTTCGATCAGTGACGAAGGTCACGTAATGTAACAATAATTTATACTGATCGATTGACGAATTTTTGTCGACGCCTTTTTTTTCTATTTATGTCAATGCTTTTAATCAAAATTGATTTGCATTGCTAAATGAATTTTTTGTATATTATAATATATTTCTAACAAAAAGAAACAAATAATTGGAAAGTACAAAAAGAATGAAAATGATTTATTATCGAAGGACGAACATGAAAGGATACGTAGTCAAATATTTTTAAAAGTACAAAAAACTAGCAATAACGTGAGATCCTGGGTGCTCTTTTGAACGAATTTCTTCAATACAGTACATGTATACATCGTATCCTTAAGCATATCATATATGTATATATATATATATATATATATATATATATATATATATATGGTTCAGCAGCTTCACTTGGAGCTCACGTTCTTTAGTGTCACTTAATTATCGTTGGCAATTAAGCTTGTGTTTTATTGAAACTCAGAAATATTTGTGTTAGCAGAGCAAGAAAGATCATGGGAAAGATCACAGCTACATGTCCGAAGAACTATGTGTTAACATCTCTCGAGTATACAGTTAAAAATATTTATATAACACCGGCTTAATCAAGAGACTACATAATTGCGTCGTTGAACTAACCACTTAATAACAGTAACAACGTAAAATTCAGCCTCGTTTTCATCTCTTCAACCAAGAAAATTCTCTTCTTCTTTATTCGTTCATTTTGTTTTTTTCTTCTTTTTTTCTTTTTCCCTTTTCATGAATCTTTTTCTTGGGGTAATACTCTTTCCACGTAATAAGATTAAAAGATAAAAATGAATTGGTGGTAATTTAAACGTCTGGAAGATCAACACCGAGAGCAACATTTAATTATAAGATCGTTACTTAGATATAAACGGTTATTTTTGTATGATTCTTTGAATGTTCACGCAGGCACATTTTGTTTTCGAAAAATATGAACCTTAAAAGCTTGGAATATTTATTTACAAATTGAGATTTCTATCCAGAATCTTCATTCGCTATATTTATCTATCCCTTTCTCTTTCTTGATACATCCGTGTGAGATGATCCCTATTCATGAGCTAAGGATGAAGATTTCAAGATAAGTGCATAAAGCGAATGGACGGTCGTTTTAAACGCCTAGAAGATTATAGAGACATCTAATTATGAGGCTTCCTAGTCATGGGAAAGGTCATGTACCATAATCCTATGTGATTTCAAATCATGCTGCTTATTTTTCTTTGTTAATGAAAGTATATTTTCACAATTAATATTGCATTTTAATTTATCCGGGAAACGGTAATAATAATAATAATTAAATAGATATATATATATATATATAGAATAGAAAATCATTTAAAAATATCATTAACAAGTTATACAATAAATTTCGAGATTTCTGCATACGCATTTTTTATACAAAGCATAGATTTTACTTAACCCTTAAGAATTCCCCCCACCTTTCGAATCATTAGCCAAAACAATTGGATTAATCTGATATGTACATTTCTTAAAATGTGTTCTCATGTTACTACTCTGGGAAAAATGAAGGCCACATTTGGAGCAAGAATAAGGCTTGGATCCGGTATGAGAGTTGAGGTGAGTCTTCAAATGGTGTTTCTTCGTGAAGGCCTTGGAACAAAGAGTACATTGATAAGGTTTCAGTCCTGAGTGAAGCTTCGTGTGAAGCGTCATGTTCGATCTATCCGCGAAAGCCTTTTGACAGATGTGACACTGATAAGGTCGTTCCCCAGAATGGGTCCTGAGATGCTGTTTGAGAAGCATTTTCCTCGAAAAAGCTTTGCCACACTGTTCGCAACTATGTGGTTTCAAACCGGTGTGTATTTTGGCGTGCATGTTATATGCCATTCGTTGATTGAAACTTTTACCGCATACAAGGCAAGCGTATTCCTTACGATTGCGATGGATCTTCATGTGCGAACTAAGGTAACTACGATCGTTAAAGAATTTCCCGCATTCCGTGCAACTGGCCGCGAATTCCCGTGTACCCTCGTGAATGCTACGATGGTACTTGTAATTGCGCAACTGCGAAAATTCTTTACCGCAATCGTTACAACGAAAAGATTTCTCCCTTTTCGTTTCTTTTTCTTTTTCTTCTTCTTCTTCTTCTTCTTCTTCATTTACATTCTTACTAGGATCCATCCTAAGATATTCGAGATTCTCTGTAACCTTCCCCGACGTTGCGTTCTCTTTGGATACGAAAATTTTCTCAATTGAATCTACGTTATTTTCGAAGAAAGAATCTTGCTTGATAAAATTGTATTGTTCAACGGCATATGAAATTCTACCGATATTATTTTCTTTGCGTTTGTCGTCCGTAAGTCGATCAGTATTCTGTGTAAATAAAAAACACATTAATGAATAAATATTAAATAAAGAGGAATGTAGGAGATAGATAATTAATAAATTAAAATATACTTACGAGATTCGTCATACTCGATCGTACTTTAGGCGAATGATGAGGTCTGACGATTTGACGCCAAGGTGATGCCGTCACGCGATTCGCCACGTGACGAAGTTGTCTCTTCCACGTTTTCCGCCATCTTTCTTCGGGGTAAATCGGGTCCTTGTTTATCCACGAGTAATCCGCTTTGTTAGACGATCTCAGCATGTCTGGGTATTTAAATGACGTAAATAATTGCGTTTCCAACGATGAGTCCTTCGTACGAAATCTAAATTCTTTATGACGTTCAATGACTCCAGTCGAATTCTGAGACATTTCGTACGGTATATGATTTGTAGTAGCCTTAAAATCGAAGGTATACGATTTATTATCTCGATCGAATGTATCGTTCAAGATAGCAGCAGGCAAAGGTGGTAAACTTATATGTAAGATCATAGCTGTTCGTAGAAACGCATTCAATCTTGTTCGTGATACTTTTGTACTACCGGTATAGATAAAATCTAATATTGCCGATAACTCGGTTGATTCGATCTCTTCTAATACGATTGTTATGGGTTCCCGATTGTTCGACGGGTTACCATCAGCTTGCAATATTTTCTGTCAAACATACAAATGAAAATATAAATATAATTCACATTGTCGGATTTAATTATTTTTTTCTTCCTTTTTCTTCCTGTTTATTTTTGATTTCTTTTTCCTTTTTCTTTTCATTACAATTCGACAGCTGGAATAATAACGAGAATTAATGGGGGGGGGGGGTTCTTTACCGATTGATCCAGCTTACGCGATAAGTTATATAACGTGATTTAATGAAATGTAAGAAAAAAAATTGACAAGAGAGAAATAAAAAATAAAATCAAACCTGTAAGTAAGGACTAGCAGCTGAGAGAACGAGTCGATGCGTCAAAAACCTTTCACCACCGAAGCAACAAAGAACGACGTCTGCGAATGTACGGGATGGCGTTGCTTCTTTTAAAAAATTGTCTATATCCGGCAACGTTTTTCCATAAAGACATATAATTTCTCCCATCGTTTATTAATTAATTATAATCACAAAAAATAAACTTAAGTATAGATGCAGATATAGATAATCGATATATATATATACTATATAAATTTATATTAAAAAATAAATAACATATATTGTTATATTATTTTAGATAATTAGACATAAATTTCTTCTTACTATCTTGTTATAATATTTGATTTTACGTATTCGTAATCGATCTATTTTACGTTGCGAACTCACTAATGATCTCTTATGCCAATAAATCTTATCGATCGATGATCGATACTTATATTTTTTTTCCTTTCACTTTTTAATTATTTTTCGATATAATGTATTTAATAATCTCGTTGTTTATCGTTAATAAAATCAATACGATTGGTTGAGTTTTACTCTTATTTATGATACTTTTCATTATCGGGCACCTTTTACACACTTTTCTTTTTCTTTTTTTTTCTATTAACAGATTCACGTTGCTTTACGATATAGAGAGAATGATCGACGGTGATCGTAAAGTGAGATTGACGACTAACATCCGAAAGACTACGACCGTCTGACTGAAGGAGACTACCTTTTCTTCATACGATCTTTTCTGAATGAAGTGAGAAAACAAGGTGTGACTTGTCTCCTACCATATTTACCTTACCCTCTCCCATTCTCTTTGCAACCCTTCCTAATCCACGTGTAATTTGTGATTTCGAAATAAACGAATTTTACTTTACAATATGACAACTTATAAAAAAGTGACTTTTTATTCGAGAAATAGAAAGAAAAATGAAACAAGAACAAATTAAATATTAAAAAAATTTTATATTTCTCTCGTCAATCTTTCTAAATAAAATAACTTTGACGTTTTCAATTATTAATTGAACCACTTCGTTTTTTTTTCGATTAACTCTATAAAATATAAAAAGTAGACAAAAATTGATTAATTAATTATACATTGTCGTATCATTTATTATTGAACAATAATCAAAATTGTTTTCATTTAATGATATTAAGGTGTAATTATTAGGGAAATTGATTTTCAATATAAAAAGTTAAGTAATTATGAAAGTTTTTTAATAATAAAATTTTCAAAAAACGAAGTTAATTGATTTGTCCTTTATTTATGAATGAATTAAATATCGTTATTTTAATCTAGATTTTCTTTTATTTTTAACGATACAGAATTAATCGTTTGTTTATCTATAACCTCTTATACTTTTTAATATTACTAGTGTAATTAAAAAAGGATATTTTTGGGGGTGGGTTAGGAGTGTATTCCCAATTTAAAATATTTAAACGTTTTTTCGGATAAAAAAGTTAATAAAAACGAATAAGTATAATGGTTACTATCGGTACCGAAGCCAAATTAAAATCTTGGACACCTTCTCAATCTTGCAAAATTCAAGATAAAATCATCTCCTCGGATTATACTACAAAAAAGACTTTTATACCGTCCTATGAAAAGTATATACCTATATATATGAAAATGTATATTTATATATTTTTTTGGCGTGCAGATATCGTGACTTTGAATTATTCTATAATATTTTTTCATTTGGTTTCGATGCGCGAAACCAAAAGTATGCATGGATACTTGTGTATAATTTTTTATACTTGCGTTGGGCAAGAGCAAAGTGTGACACAACACCCGAATGATTATGCAAATTCATCTCGATGATCTCGATTTCGAAACCACACCCAAAATGTATATATATATATATCTTGACCTGTTATATTTTCTAGAGAAAGACGACCGTGCATCGAGCTACTATTGTCGAACGAGTATCAAAGAATTTGGTGGCGAGATAAGAAAAGCTGGGAAAAAGCAGTCGTTCCACAAACAAGCAAGAAAAAATTATTGCAAAGAATGGTAATTTTTATACGCGTTTTGATATATAAATAATTTCTATTATTATGTACTGAGGTAATAATGAATTCAATGAATTAAATCCAAACAATTGGAATAATTCATTTTATGTATGAGATTTACTTTATATTATTATAATCAAATCAAATTGTTTCATACGTTTTAATTTGCATTAAATCAATTGCTATAATTACCGGAATATTATTAACAATTAGTTAAAAATGATAAAATATTTTTATAGATAATTAAAAAGATACCAAAAAAGGATAGTTGTCCGCCGAAATTTCCAGTGTTTGAAACAAAGAAGAAGAAGAAACCGAAAAATAGTGAAAATTTGGATTTGGCAAAAAAGTCGAGTGCCGTTTAAAAATTTTTGTCGACGAAAACTTAAATAAATGCAAATCTTACAAAATTATATCAAATAAAATAATCGAAAATATTAGAAAATTCTTTTCGACAAAAGAAATAGCATTAATTGTAAGAATAAAAAATTAATAAGTTAATTATGGTACCACGTTGAAATTTTGTTGAAACTAAATTCACTTGAAGACCTTGTATAAAATTAATCATTTGATCCTATTTTCTGATCCAACTTTCTATTAATCCTAAAAATAAGTTTTACGACCTATATATACTGAATTTTATACATATATATAACAGGGATTAAAAACAATACATAAATTGTTATATACCGTAGAACGGTAGAAATCAGTATCAGAATGTATTTCTTGTATTCTATATATCTGTACTTAATCCGCTGTCAAGATCCCCACCTGCTGAACGATATAAGGTTTCAGTAAGCCTCGACGTGCTTTTATTGTAACAGTACAGTTCATAAGTGTTGTCTTGTATGTTACCATTACGTTCCCATGGAGTTATAAAATTTGTATGATAAGGTGTGTTATCGAATATAAAACATTATAAATTAATAGATATAACACCATATATAACAAATTATTGTTCAACAGTTAAATGTAAAAAACAAAGATTTTAAATTTCGTGGTACATTTGTTTTGTATCTTTTTTGAAGAAACAAAAAAAAAAAGAAAAAACAAAAACCATAAATAATAAAAAATATATCCTCGTACGATAGTTCGGCAATAGTTAGTTTTACCGATTTAACAATAAAAAAAGAAAGAAAAGTAAAAAATCGCAAGATAAAAAATCACCCGAATGAGTTCTGTTATGTTTCGACGGAAAGCTTGCAGGACGTGAATTATGAATCCATCTGAATCACAACAGAATCTTCTTAGTAATGAAGTAAGAGCACCCTCGGTACAATCGTTAAGTCCACCGGCTGATTATATTCTCGGACCCGTTGAAAAACATTTTCTATTGAGTGCGGAGAGAGGTGATTGTGCTACCGTCAAAAGGTATAATCCAAAATCTATTTACCGTTTATATAAAAAAACGATAATAAAATAAATGAATAAAACGAAAATTGATATTAAAACAGATTGCTGGAAGAAAATAAAGATCAGCCAGAAATCTTGAATATAAATTGCGTTGATCCATTAAATCGATCAGCTTTAATAGCAGCCATCGAAAATGAAAATATCGAGCTTATTAAATTGTTATTGGATTTAGGGATACAAGTTAAGGTGATAAGAAAAAATGAGAAATTAATAATAATAATAATATTAATATTAATAATAGTTTAATATTTGTTATATAATATATTTTTTTAATTTAATATTAATTACTATTGCAGGATGCACTTTTGCACGCCATCAAAGAGGAATACGTGGAAGCCGTGGAGATTTTGTTAGAATGGGAAGAAAGAATCCATGTTTTAGGCCAACCTTACGTAAGTTCAAGAACGCGTTAAATCAATTTTCTAACATCTATCTATATTGTATTTAAAAGATAGATCAAAAAAATTGTTATTTATTTCAGAGTTGGGAAGCCGTAGATAGATCATCATCTAATTTCACTCCTGACATAACTCCCTTAGTATTGGCAGCACACAAAAATAATTATGAAATTTTGAAAATACTTTTAGATCGTGGAGCGACCCTACCAACCCCTCATGATGCCAGGTAACTTATTTTCTACCGATCAATAATAGAAAACCTTATATTGGCGTATCTTTAAATTAGCCCCTTGACTACGGGAAACTTTGAGACAGTGAAATTTTGATTAGGCATGCATTTTTGTGTGAAAACATATCTCAATAATCGAAATGTTGAATTTCACTACGTCAAAACGATATTATTTATTTTTCTTTGTATTTTTAATCGAATTTTTATTATAAATACTATAGGCACTGTCAGTGTCACAAACGCTAAATTTCTAAGTACCTATAAGCGCCCGCAGTAATCTAGAAGTTAAATCGTTAAATATGAAACGTCCAATTACTCCGATTACATTCAATTAAAAATCTAACATCTCGTGTATAATAATTTAATATCTAACGTTTATTATAATACTATCGTTGTACGATTTTAGATGTGGTTGCGACGAGTGTGTAACTTCGAGTGAACAAGATTCTCTTCGGCATTCCCAATCTCGTATAAATGCGTACAGAGCTTTAACATCACCGTCCCTTATCGCTTTATCTTCGAGAGATCCACTTTTAACGGCATTCGAACTTTCATGGGAATTACGTCGTCTCAGTCGAATGGAACAAGAATTTCGATTTGAGTATAATGTACATTTCATTAGTAATTACTGTATATCAGTGTTCTTTATTTTCTTTTCTTTTCTTTTTTTAATTATTAAATATTTAAATTATGTCCATGTAGGAAATGCGAGAGCAAACGCAACATTTTGCAACGTCGTTATTAGATCATGCACGTACATCATATGAATTAGAAATTATGCTCAATTATAATCCGACTGGAGATAATTGGGAACCCGGAGAACGTCAAACTTTAGATCGACTAAAACTTGCCATTAAATATAAACAAAAACAGGTAAATGTTGTATAAAAGGGTGTCCTAAAAGTTGCTTTATTGATTGTTAAAAACAAGATAAACAAAAGAAAACAAATCAACATTGGTCTATTAATAGGGAGTGAGAATATTTTGTTCTACATTTCGAAATATTAATTTTTAGTTATAGTATATTGTTAAAAAAAAAATGGACTCACGTAATGTTGCCATTCCTAATACTTGTAAAAAATAAAATTTATAAAGTTTCAGTTCGATAAAACGATTTTTGTGACTCCCCTATATTATATTTTGTTTTATACATGCATTCATGAAGGCGTTGCCTATCGTAAGGAGCACAATCATTAAAAATTTCTATTTCAAATACTATTATTAAATTTCGATTGGTATAGATCTTAAAATGTTTTAGACAAATTTATTATTCAGATTAATTTGAAGTTTATCTTATTTTCAGTTCGTAGCTCATCCGAATGTGCAACAATTATTAGCAGCCATTTGGTACGATGGTCTACCTGGTTTCCGTAGAAAAAGTATGATCGGTCAATTAATTGACGTCGGAAAACTCGGTGCTATGTTTCCTGTTTATAGTACAATTTATATGATGTCTCCTACGTCCCAAATGGGTTTGTTTATGAAAAAACCGTTTGTCAAATTTATTTGTCACTCTTCTTCCTACGCTTTCTTTCTCAGTAAGTAAACACTTCGATATTTTCTTTTTACGTCGTTTTATAAGGGGAAGATCGGAGGGAAGGGGGAAGGGGGATGGGGGAAGGTGGAGAAAAAGAAAAAAAGAAATATCTAAAAATGATTTGCAGTGTTACTCGGAATGGCATCTCAACGAATCGAATATTTGGTTATCGAATTATTTGGCAATGCGTGGATGCGTGAAATACTTGCAGGATGGAAAAGACGAGAACGAGGCTGCATTCCGGGTTTCGTTGAATCCGGCGTTATTATCTACGTAATAAGTAAATTAATATTTTATTTTGATATGAAAGAAAAAGAAAAGAAAAGAAAAAACGAGAGAAATTGACGATCCTTATGACGAAGATAGACGATTTACACAAGAATTCATCTGATAATATTATATAAAGATATATTAATTATTTCTTTTATGAATAATGTAGGCTTAGTTGTCGGAGAAATAAGATCATTATGGTCGGATGGATTACTCGAGTATATATCAGATTTATGGAATATAGTGGACTTCATACAAAATACATTTTACGTTATATGGATAAGTATGAGAATGACTGCTTGGTTTATAGTACAAGTACGTTTTAATTATGATCCATATAATTGTTAGTTATATTCATAAATAATATTTTCTTTTTTATTAATCTAATTATTCAATTTCTTGTATCTATCAGTTAAATAATTAATTAATTAATCATTTTTCTTTTATTTTTAATTTTAAATACCACCACATTAATTGGTTTATATTTTTGTAATTTACATAGAGAGAATATTGGAGTGGTGAGGATCCTTGGTATCCAAGAGATAAATGGCATGCCTTCGATCCCATGCTTCTCTCGGAAGGAGCCTTTGCTGCTGGAATGATATTTAGGTACATTTTTTCTTATCGATTTTTTATCATAATAAATATTTATTTCTTTAATATTCCATATATATAAATTTTCCTTCAAATAATTCTTCAACGTCCCCAATATATTTCAGTTTCTTAAAACTCGTTCACATATTCAGCGTAAATCCACATCTCGGACCTTTACAAATTTCTTTAGGCAGAATGATAATAGATATTATTAAATTCTTTTTCATCTATACTCTCGTTCTATTCGCCTTTGGTTGTGGCATGAATCAGTTAATGTGGTATTATGCTGATTTGGAAAAAATGAAATGTTATCATATGCCTAACGGATTACCGGATTTTGATAATCAAGAAAAAGCTTGCTCGATATGGCGAAGATTTGCTAAGTATAACAATGATATTTATAGATCATTCAAATAAAACCGAATATAATTTACGCTAAACGTATTTACAATTTGTTTGTTTTCTCATTTTTTTCTTTCAGTCTTTTTGAAACCTCACAATCATTATTTTGGGCAAGTTTTGGTATGGTAGATTTGCTATCCTTCGATCTAACCGGAATAAAAAGTTTTACAAGATTTTGGGCTCTGCTTATGTTTGGTTCATATTCGGTTATCAACGTTATAGTATTACTCAACATGTTAATCGCTATGATGTCAAACTCATATCAGATCATTTCGGTATTGTTATAAAATAATAAGAAGCAACAAAAAGTTACAATTATTAAAAAAAAAAGAATTTTATTTTTTCATTGAATTAAATGAACTTTGTTATTATCTTTAGGAAAGGGCTGATACAGAATGGAAGTTTGCAAGAAGTCATCTTTGGATGAGTTACTTTGAAGACGGTGACACCGTACCGCCACCGTTTAATATGGTTCCCACGAGTAAATCTTTTGATAAAATTCTTAAATGTGGTAAAGGTTCTCGACCCACTCGATCCTTGATAGTAAGTTCCTTTTCATATAAACATTATTATAATAATGTTTTAATTAAAAGTTATTCTTATATTTTATTAAGCTTTAATTACTTAAAAAAATTAAATCGCGTTTGTATGCAATTATATATTCGTTTTTTTTTTGTTGTTAGAAAAAATCACGAGAAAAAGCAATGGCTAGGCACGACACGGTAATGCGATTGCTTATTCGTCGTTACGTGACAGCGGAACAGAGAAAACGCGATGATTTTGGTATCACCGAGGACGATGTCATGGAAATTCGACAAGATATCTCAACATTACGATACGAATTAATCGACATTCTCCGGCAAAATGGAATGCGGACGCCGACTATTGATAAACAAGATGCTGCATGTTGGTAGAAATTAATAAAATAATGTTTATTATTTTGTTAGACCTTACATTTATGCATATATTTATGTATATATTTGTTTCTAGTATCTGGTAAAAAAGGTCGTGTAATGGAACGTCGCTTGCAAAAGGATTTCCAGATTGGAATAGTAGAAGGCATTGTTAATGCAGTTATACAAGGAAATGAAAAGGAACCTAAAGATGTGTTTAGTCAAATTGCTAAAGCGATAGGTCGTAGAAGCAGCGGTGGTAGTAAAAAGAAAGATTGGAATGCTGTTGTTCGACAAAACACTTTTGCTAGGGATCCAATTGGTAGTTCGAATGAGGCATTTGCTAGACAAACGAGAAGAAGTTCTCGTAGAAATATGCGAGGCAATGCTAATTCTGATTTAGCATCCCTCGATCCTAATCGTTTGGTCGAGTACAATCCCAATCTATCCGAAGTTACGCCTACTACGAGAATCGCTTATGCCAAATTCATGTTGAAACGAGTTAGGCATATCGATGAAGTTGAAAATACGGAAGGTCAGTCAATAATATACATACGCAAGCTATTCATGTAATATATATATGTGTATTAGGTCGTTATCAAACTTTTTTTACCTTTGTTCTTACTTACATATATTAGTAAATTTTATATACAAAATATTATTTATTTTATATTATTTTATTAAATCATATATAATATAGAGGAAGTCAACGGAACAGAATGAATTATATATAAATTCAATGTTGTGCATCTAAAATTTACTAAAAAAATACCGAAAAAACTTTTTAAGAACGACCTAATACCATCTTATTAGTACATCTAATTTTGCGCTGAGTTAATAACAAAAAAAAATAATTAAGCAGGAGCTGAAGGAGAAGGAGAAGAAAAAGGAGGAGCAGGAGGTAAGAGTGCAACTTCATCTGAGAAGTCAAGTATGAAAAAAAAAGGTCCCGAGGGTGACCGTCCAAAGTTAATATTGTCAGAATCTTTGAAAAAAGGAATATTAAAATCAATGAGCGCCGGGAGTATCGATAAGACGGGTGATAAATTAACACCGGATGGAAAAGCGCCAGAATTTAGGGCACCAACGCCTATACCTGAAGATCCGAGAGAGGATGATGTCAGCAAAGTATCGGCTGAGGCACAAATCTCAGCGAGTAAGTCTAATAAAACTGATGCAGATAAAGATAAAACACCTCAGAAGGAGCCAGCCAAAGATCAAAATGTTGATGATGCGAAGAAGAAAGAGGAGGAAGAAAAAAAGAAAAAGAAAGAGGAGGAAGAAAAGAAAAAGAAAGAGGAGGAAGAAAAGAAAAAGAAAAAAGAGGAAACAGCTAAAGAAGCATCGAAGCCATCTAAGTCACAAGACGAAAATGTTCCAGTTGCTACAACTAAGTTACGTGGAAAATCTAAAGCGACTGGTCAAATTATGGGAGGCTGGATTTAAATATTTTCTTAAAGAATTTTCTAAGAATTTGATAACATTAATGTACCGATATCTGTAACTTTCAAATAATTACTAATGTAATCTTTTGAATTATCAATGATATCATTAACCGCATACGAATCGTTATCTTACAACAGGCACAGTCAAAATATATTTGAGTTATACATAATATCTATATTGTTTTGATAAAAAAAAAAGAGAAAGTATAGTTATACATAAGATGATTCTAATGACACAAATGTTTACAATTCCCCTTTCTCTCTCTCTCTCTCTCTTTTTTATTCTCTTTAACTTCATGTTAAATTACTTTTCTCAGTATCTATATTACACTATTGTCATTTAGAAATATTGTAAGTTTAAAAATTATGTAAATTCTCTAGTCGTAATGAATTTTTTGAAATCGCGCGTGTTTATTGTATAATACATTGTGTATGTAATAGTATTAGTTTTTAACACTAACAGTTTTTACGAACCCTTCACGAAAATTTATTTATTTTACCTTGTTGGATATTCTGTCCAGTTTTTTACTTACTACTACATACTATACGGCAGTTGGAAATAGAAGAGTGAACGAAAAGGTAAATGATATGAACATCGTATTATATTGTAATATGCAGTGTTATATCACTATATAATATATATATATATATATGTTACAAGCAATGTATGTATTTCAAGCTTGTATATATTTAAAACTTTTTTGACATTCTATAGAATGCTCGAGAAAAAGTTTCGGGCATTCTATACAATGCCCGCAGTAATATACTACTCGTAACATATATACGGATAAATACACATATATATATATATGTTGACGTTACTTTGTGCAATGACTAGCTAAACCCTAAAATAACTATACTGACCTTTTAAAATACGCAGGTAGGCAGAATTACATACTTCAACTAGATAATATATGAATTTACAAAAAGCGGGTAGTTAATGTATGAAATTGAGATTTGATTCGTAGATTAGACCCGATAGAACAGTACAACTAATAAAACATTTTGTTTTTCAAAGTTCAGAGAAAGTACAATAAAAACGTCTAGTTATTTCGAGTAAAAGCTAGGATTTTTACGATTTTACTGAACTCTACAATTTAACGCTACATATATACATATATATGTATATTATATATGTATATTACAACCTCGACGATTTTGCTTTTCAACAATACATTGATTTGTACAGTATGAAATCTGCACAGTATCTCTGTCTTATTATCACTAAAATATATTGCCCATTTTGTCTATTCAAAATAATTAGTATCTATTACATTATATCATACATATTGATATATCAACAAATATATTACACCACAGAGAATATACAAATACTTATTATGAACTAGAGTACATATAGAAGTACCACATACATAGATGTATATAAGATGTACATACATATAAATATTGAATCACTCTTCATACTATAAACAATATTCGCACCAAATACTATTCAATATGTGTATATATGTTCAGGAATATTAATTACTTGACTCAAATCAGTTATTCGCTAGACTGTAATTACAAATTTATCTCATTTGGCGATTAATTCTTCAATTCTTTTCTCTATTTGCACCTTTATATAATTGAAGTTTCATATCTAGAATATATTTATCTTCTTTCACCCTATTATTGTTCCTATACATATCTGCAGAAAAAAATGTTTTACACAAAAATTACATAATTTTCTTGTCATATAGAATTAAAAATATCTGATGTTTTGATAAAAAGTTCTTTTTACAATACATAGGCTTATAACATTTAGGATTGCGATATATTGATTTTCATAATCATATCAATTATTCAAGATCATGTAAGGATTAAAAGTAAGTGTAACCGACTGTGTATATTAAAAAGTATTACATCCATTGATATTGGTCCGAAGAAATTGTATGCAGACATACATGATTATAGAGATCTTGTCATGAAAAAGGATAACTTAAAGTTAAATATTAATAATCAAATATAAGCATTTTTATGTGTTTTTCATAAAAACATACAACACATAGATTTATATACTATTTTTTAAAAGGATCAGAAAATATTTACTATCATTAAACTAAGTTCATAGAGAGTAGCATTACGTATTAAGAGAGATGTTCGTTATTATTACTACAACGAACGAACAATATGTAACAGTTTCATATCAACAATATTTTAATTATACACGCACATACGTACATGCGGGTATAACAATAAACGCGCTAAATAGTTACATTGACTTAGTGGATAAAAGTATTTTCAAATACATTTACCAATATAATGATATTCTCCCAAATATATCTTTCATTATATTATGTGTGTATAGTATTACATTTAAAATGTGTTTAAAGTGAGAAGATAAATTCATGCCTATATTAGTGGCAGTGGTAAATCGTTAGTATTTATAAAGAGAAAAAGTTTACCATACATAAAGTAATATCTCTGATAAGAAAGATATATTTTATCTCTATCAATTTAAACAACAATACTTTTATTCTTCTAGAATTCAATGCCAATTTTATTCTTCTTTGTTATTATAAAAGATAACTTTTTTCTATTTTTTAACTTTACTAACAGCCTTTGTACTATCAACAATATTGTAGTTATTTTTTGAATCTACTGCACTTAAAGCTATTCCTAGTTGTGCTGTATAATATGTTAACATGATAGACACCTGAAAACAAAATATAATTGTAGAATTCTTTAATTAATACAAATTGACTACACATTTAAACATACCTGAGAGTAAGGTAATGGACTACGAAAATAATGGAATCCAAGTAATGTATCAGATATTAGAAAACATATACTGCCAACACAGCTGCATAGTTTTGTCCATGTCCATAATTCCTAATATATAAAAATACCCTCATATATATATTTAAACATATGCAAATTTTAACGTATTATAATAATAAAATATAAATTAATTAATTGTAAGATTTCTTTAAAAAATTGGATTTCTTCTAAGATTTTAAAATTATAAATTATAAAAAGTCTACTTTTATATGATTGCAAGTGATACAGAAAAGGCACTTTGAACATAAATTCTATTAATACATGTACCTTTGATTCAATTGAAATGACAATTGAAAAGCTCTTCGCTTGATAACAAGTAATAAGATAATGGATTACTAGATTTATTGCAATATGAATAGATAGTTGACGAAATTACTTACACATTGAGAAATCATTAATATTAATATATTAGTTTAAATAATAACCATATATTATAATAAATTATAATAAAATTTGTTTTGATAAAATAGATTATATGAAATTTCAAATAATATTTACGTAAATGTATGAGATAAGATAAAACAGGGGCATATGTAAATAACACAGATAACTGGTCATTTAAAGAAATAAAGAAAATAGCGTTCTACACAAAAAATAAATTTACAAATAACTTTTAAATAAGTTTTAAACAGTAAACTTTCATATAAACTTTAACACAACGATTATACTGACCTCAAAAAATTGTACTCGTGCGATAGCTCTCCATGCCATTGTAGTTAATAACAGTGTATAAATTGGAACACCTATGACTAGAATACCACTTAGACCAGGCATTAAAAGATATATGACTGAAACATAGGAATGTAGTTATTCCATGTTGTACTGATACCATAAATATCAAAATGATATTTTACCTAAGGAACAGAATGAGTACATTATAGCACCAAGTAGAAAATTTATCGGCTTAAAGCCAAATGCATAAATGTACATGATTTGAGCAATAGCAAACATGCACATTCCTGCAGTAAAACAATTTGGCCATACTAGAAGAGCATCTCCTATGCAACTGAAGACTAAACCAGTTAAAATACGTCTAGAAAAAGTATACCTGTAAATTATAAAAAAATATATATGTATATAAATACACACATTTATTTGAACAAATAATCATATAATAAGCAATCATTTATTATTTACAATTTGATATAATTGTTAATATAATTTATAACAAATAAATGCAAAATGAAATGATATTGGACTTACTCTTTGGATAAACTAATTCCATGTAACAAAACAAAGACGATAAGACTTATTATTGGCAAACATTTGAAACATGCAGTTAATAGAGATGGCTGCTGTGCTAGTAGCACAAAATATACAGATACACTTTTAAAGAATGGAACTAATTTTGGGCCAACACTTTTAATCTGTAACATAAAAGTTACTATACTCATAAAAATATTTGTATTTAATAATAATAAAAAAAAAAAAGGCAATTTATATAGAACATATTATTAGATCCTTCGTAAATTATAACTAGTATAATCGTATCTAATTCTAAATAATAAATTTATAATTATTCGAAAGACTTAATTTGTAGTAAAAAAGAGATTAATTTTATTAAATTAATATACTAAAGTATGTTAAATCACATAGTATATGTGTGCTAGTGTGGTAACATAGAGACAAAGAAAATAACAAACAAAGGAACAAAGAGAAAGAAAGAGCAACTTCTATTAATATTTAAAAAACAAAAATAAATTCACATTTATTGGTATAATAATATCGATTCTAATGTGAATATTAAATTATTAATATTAAATTTGAATTCGATAAACAAAAACGAATCATTTCATCGATATATCTACGTATATCTTTTTGTTAAAGCGATTAACAACAATGGAAAAGAAAAAAAGACAAAAGAGAACTTGTTTATACGTCTGATACAAATATAGCGCGATAAAAACATTGGTGGAACGTAAACAAAAATCTCTGTAATACATTTTTACTAACCACTTGTGTTGGTGATGACATTTCGCAGGAACCAATCAGCAATATATATACGATTTTTATTGAAAGATTGTCAAATATTTGTAAGTGTCAACGTTATCCAAAGCATATGTCGTCTGCTAGTAACGCATAAGAAGCTTCCCAGCGCGCTATGCGAATAACACTGTTGAACACAGGGTATCAATTGATCGTATCCAGTACTGTCCAACATGACGATATTATCTAATGGCATTCATCTCTCTTGACCACACTAACAACATTAGGAACGTCACCTTGATCAAATATATTGTCAAGATTAAACTGATTCAACTCCATTACGGCAGTTTTCATTGTCAATCCGTGGATGATACAAAGTCAATACTTTGCATTTTTCTTATCTATATTTTTAATATTTCCCCCTCCTCTTCTTTTTCTTTTCCCCTTCTCCTCCATCTGGTCCTCATCATTCTTCTAAAACATATGTTGCGCGCGAAAAAAAGATCTAAGTTTATTGGATGGATGCATAAAAGCGATTAATGTTTATCTAAATATCGATATAAAACAAATTACAGTAACTTTTTATACTTATAAATTTTTAATTGATGAAAGATTAAAGTTTCATTTTTTATCTTTTTATTTTTTTTTAATGACGTATTTTACTTGAAAACATACGTTACGTATAAGATAGAACAGAAATTTGTATCTAAAGGAATTTTACCTAATTTAAACAAAGATAATTAACAATGGAATATTTATTTTGTTTAATTATGTAATTACTTTTAATTTTATTGTAACATATAACGGAAACTGAAAAGTATCGAGATATTGTAAAAAAAATAATTCAGAAAGAAATAGAGTACCTATTAATGCTTCTTCATATTTATTTCTATACTATAATTATCTTTAATAGTATTCTTACGTAATAAAAATTCGATGTAATTTAATTATTACGACTTAAATAACGTAAGCTCAATATGAAAGATATGAAAAAAACGTAAATCTTTTAATAAAATTATCGTTTGTTTGAACTTGTACCATATATACAAATATAGATGGCGTTAAAGTGCTAATTCTGTAGCGTGTTCAATAATATTCAAGAATAATTAATTCACTGGGGAAAAATATTATATGAATATTTTTATTATAAACGTATCAAAAAATACTTATACAAAATATGTAACAAACTTAACAAAAATCTTAAAACGGAAAAAGGAAGTAGTGATTAGTGTTCACGTCTTTGGTCGCTGCTCGTGAGCACGCGTGTGTCTCGCTCGGTGGTTGGGACGGAAGAGAGCGAATAGCAGCGGTTGTTCATATACGTGGGTTTTTTTTAGTCATTAAGTTTCGCCACTAGAGGCGTGACGGTAGGAATGTCGGAGGCGCCAAGCTTTGGCGTGACGACCACAATTCTGAGCATGCGAAGTACTTATAACCATCGTCATTGATCCAATTTTAAATATTTCTACATATATATATATATATAAATTGATACACAATTCAGAATTTTTTTTTCAGATGCGTCTTATAGTGTCAAAATACGAATTTTTTCATTATGTTATTTCATCTTAAAAGTTTAAAGAAAATATTAAATGAATCTAATTTATATAAAAAAAGAATGACAAATAAACACAAGTCCAATATAGTTGTTGATGATCAAATTTGTATTATATTATAAAAAAGTTATGGTTTCATTAAAAAATATTTGTGTCAAGATAAATGATATTTTAATCATCTTATTTTATTCTCGTGCCAAATTCAACCAAATACACAATATTGTACTGTTAATCAAATATACTGTGTTGGATAAGGCTGGGAATAATATAAAATAATAATAAGCCTTTTAGGCTTCCATTTCTTCCAAAGTTTTAAGGAAAGATGCTTTCTTCTGTGCAACACGATTTTTGCGTTCGGATAACGATAATTTTGCACGATTCCACCGCTTCTTAACAGGTTCCTTAGTTCTTGTAACTTTCACGTGCTCTGGATTAGCACGTATGGCGTCATGTGCTTTCTTATACATATCTTCGATCTGTTCGAAAAATTAATGTTTATTAATGTAAAAATAAAATGTACTAATAAATTTGTGACAGATAAAAATTGTTAACATAGGTTACGTTGCAAAATGTTTTTAAAAATACATTTAAATATTTGTAACCAATGTTTATTTTCTATTGTCCAACGGCGACACCACATAGCTTAAAATATCTAGTAGTAATTTTTAGTTGGACGAATAAGAGTATCTGAAAAGTAATAATATTCATTATTTACTTACGCTATTAGCACTAATTCCATTTTTGATATACTGGGAAAATTGTTTTTTATAAATTTCGTCATCTTGCTCTTCCAAAATTCTCATATAATTGGCAACATGCTGTCCAAAAATATGTTTTCGATGTACATCGGCTTTGAAAGTTTTTGATTCACTATCATAGCCTGGGAATCTTTTCGTACTGTATAATAAAAATAAAATTACGATTAAAACAATTAATTGTAATGCATACAAAGAGAAGATATAATTGTAAATAATCAGAGACACTTTATAATCTTTTATGCCGTTGTAAAGCTTACAAATTGCCATTGTAAAACACAATATCAAAAATAAACTTTACTTTGACTCAGATGACGCGCATGTGTCAAAAAATCATCACAAAATTAATTTTATGTATAATAGTTAGATAATGGTTAGTTAGTATAAATTCTAATTAACTTACTATCACTTACCTATGAGGAATATTAAGACCTCCATCTACGGCTCCCTTCATTGCCCCAAATACTCTTGCACCAGTAGTGGTACGCATCAAACCTGTATCTAAGTAACACCTAAATGCCCCAGGTCCTTTATCTAATTCTTCTACATTATATTCGTCCCCAGTTACTTCTATAGTGCCTGTATATAATCCATCCAAGCCTAACTTTTTAAGGAGCTGTATATAAAGGATATATATATATATATATTTAATTACCTACACAATATAATTGTATCACATAATAACATAACGAATTTGTATATCAGAATAAAAATTGGGAACAAAGTTTCTTCATTTATATATCAAAGCGAGCTGAGTAGTTCATCATATGAATTTGTAATTATATAAATACATGTAAAAGAATTTTAGTAACAATATTTATTTACCCTTCTTGCTACTAATAATCCAGTACAGTAGGCTGATGCGTAGTTAGTGAGTCCAACTTTAATTCCATATCTGGGAAGTTCATGACTGTATGCAGCACATACGATTTTATCTCCTTCAATTCTTGAATACGCAATCTATAAAATATACAATTTTAAAAACAATACTGCAAGTAAGTTTAAAACATTGTGCAAATATATTCCATTCTACTGAACTTACTTGGCATGTGATATCCTTGTTAGACAAACGAACAATTAATCTATATTTCGGAGTATTGTATTTATTTTTATCTTGAATTGTTAATCGTTTACGCGCATAATAATCAGTTTTACCTTCACGTCGCCTCTTGAATTTTACTTGATAACGCTTAAAGTATTGTTTATTTTTGACTACCTTCACAAAACCCTGTAACAAAATTGTAACTATTAAATTAGTTTTTAAGAAACATGTGTAAAACAATAAACAAGAATAGTTAAGTTCATGTATGTTAAATTCATAACCAATAAGGCTGTATTAAAGATAATCTAAGATTTAAGAATTTCAATCCACAGAGCAAAATGTAATATATAAAGATTGATATTTACAGAAAAAATTTGGATTAGCAGTTATAAGTAAAACATCCATATGTTTAAAACAATGTGAGTATAAACCCAACACGTTTCTAATGGCATATGAAACTACACCTATCCGATTTTCATTTAATCCATCATTATAAGGAGCATCCTTTGAGTTATAATTTTCAAAAATAATTTATTTAAAAACTAAGAAATCGTACTTATCGTTATTACTAATATTAATAATTATTTCTGCTTACCATTTTTTATTATTTTACGGATAAACAGCCGAGACGACAAAATCACCTTCTTGCCGAACCACGAAGAAATAAAAAGAAGTATATAACAGTGGTACAAACTAAATTCTCTATAGTGAATATAACGACTATGCGTATCTTTCTAGGGAATTTTAATTTAAGAATAATAGGAAATTTAAATCAAGAATTTTAAAAACAAAAGAATAATTTACAAAATATAAATAATTTACATTTATATATATATAAAATATGGAAGTAAAAATTAAAGTTATAACAATACAATAAAATAAATAGAAACTAGTCTTAATGTAGGATATGGTATCTTCTATGACTCCCGTCTAGGTGAGATATATAAATGGCGCTTATATCGAGCTGTTAAAGAGTAGCATCTCTCATGGTTTCTAGCTTTTATCTCTCTCTGCTGAGCGAAGTTACATCTTGTGTGGCGCTTAGATCAAATTGTTGTTTCTTTTCGTGAAACTTTTCAAATTTTTAAATTGAAGAAATTGTTCGGTCTCTTCTTTTAGCGAAGTCTTACTAATCGGACGTTTAACTGTGAACATGAAAAAAAGATTTTTTATATCGACTTGGTTGATTAACATTATAACATTCTGGGGATATATACGCATGTATATATATATATATATATAATAAGGATTATATATAAGGACTGAGATCTTAAAAAAATTTATCGATATTCCTACTCTTACCAACGGACGTTATACGTCGGTAATACGTGGAAGTATCATTTATCGCCATCTATACTTTTAGAATAGTATTAAAGTGCAACATTCAAATAAAAATGTATCATTTATATTATCTGAGCAATAACATACGAAATAAAAATTTTATTTTACTTTGATTGATGGTTGGACGGATATTGAAAAAAGTTTTCGTTAAAACTATATTTATAAAACTAAATATGAAAAAGAAAAAAATTTTATTTATTTAATAATCAAAAAATGATATAATATCACAGAGTATATAGATATGTGAAATATTTGTTAATCTTTAAATTCGTATGAATGTAAATTATTTAAATGTAGAATACTTATCAATTTTGTAGAAAGAAGAATGTGTATGCGTGAAAGATACATTTCCAAATGATACTTTAGTAAACAATAATAATAATAATAATAAACGAAATTGTAATTAATACGTAATTTGAAGAGAATAGTTTTAAATGACAAACATGTTAAGTGTACATGTAATATTTTTATTTAACATTATAATGAACAATTTTTTCTTAAGATATAGATGAATATACGCTATAAATGTATGTGATATTATTTAATAGGACTCATGAAATGACCTGATTGTTTTTTATTTAATATAACATTTACAGAGCGATGTTGTATTGAATGCTTTTATTGCCTTTTGAAAATGAACTCTCGAAATGTCTCAAATGAAAAATATTATATTTCATTAATATGAAAGAGAAAGATAAAAGTATTTAATTATAAACAAATATAGATAAAGTAATAAATACATTAACTATTGTATGCCATATTTTATAAAAGCAGGAGTAAAAATTCCTCTTTTGAAAGTTAGTCGACTTTCAAAATAACAAGTTAAAACACCAATGTGAATGTTTTATCATCGTTTATTGTCTCTCTTTACCTATTTTAAATAATATATTATTATCATTATTTGGAACCGATTTTGTTTTTTCTTCTTCTTTCTTTATATTTAAATTATCGCAAATAAAATTTAAATAATTTAATTATTAAGATAATATCAGATCGAATAAATTACTTTCGCAATATTCGAAAACAAAAAACTCGCAATAATTTATGAATAGCACTCTGTATATTTTTTGTCCGTTCAAATTATACAATATTGCACTAATTTCATTCTCGAAATGAAGAACGCTATATAAATACATATAATTTTTCTTTTTTAGCGAGTATATAAGTTTTTCCTTCTTGTTAAAATTACAAACTAATTTTTTAACAAGAACATTTACGATCACGCGCCGAAATAAAAACTTTTTAGACAATATTCGAAGCGTCGAAGTACGTAGTGCGACATATTTACTGCACTTAAATTATACGTTTTTTACGAAACAAAAAACTATATATATAGTTTATTATCGTATATATATGTACGAACGAACTTCATTGTGATTATACTTAAACGATACAATAAAGTTAAAAACATAGTCAGTTCCATACGTCAACCGCTAAGAAATTTCGTACTTCTTATCTTTTCAAGTTAAAAATTAGTACTTAATGCGTTAAACGATTATACTATGCTAAAGTTATATTTTATCACTTGTTATAATACTTAAAATTTAGCGATCAATTGACATATACCACATACTTCATTATTTCTTTTTTCTTTTCTTTTCTTATTACTTTTTCTTGTTTTTTTTTCTCTTTTCTTAACACTGGAAGAAGCAATCGATGCTATATATTTTACAAGGATATACGCGACATAAAAAGAAAAATACTTTTTTTTAAAGAGGCACCAACAGATGATTATACAATTCACATATTTATTTTTTATTAGAAATAAGAACGATTAAGACCAACAATATCAAGTAGATATAGCTATCCGTTATTTCAATAAGAATTAAGAAAAAACAAAACAAATGTTCTGAACATAATCATCATTAGTTTAAGGACGACCAAAAAACCTATCAAGAAATAAATATTTATAAAGAAACATATTTATAAATATGTTTTTTCGAGAGCAAAGATATATTAAATATTACTTATATTAAAAGCGAACTTAAAGATGAAACGAACGAGAATAAGGAAGAAGAAGAAAAAACAAAGAGAGAAAAATTAATATGTTGTCCGAATTTTTGGAATTGCATGCGTATATACATATATATTAGATGTAGCAATTAATTCAGTGCCTTGTGATTATTAAATTTATTGCACTAAAATCACATTTTTTTTTCCTCAAGAAATTCGGCAATTGCATGAAAGATGGATCAAAGTAATCGCAAATAATAAAGACCATTTTGAAAAATAACAAATGCAGAGATGATTACTTTATAAATAAATATTAAATTTCTTTAAAAGGCATCGAATATTAATTTCTACATTTAATATAGATAAATATATAAACATAAAAATATATTAGAGTAAAATATGAAATTAATCGAAATATCGTTTCGTAACAACATGTATAAAATGAAGGATCGTTGCTTTTTTGTATATTATCAATCGATCTTCATCATTTTCTCCCTTATGAGTCGTACCTTCTTTTTCGTAGTCGTCGACGTACAACGTCGGAAAAGTACGAAGATGTATATATTTATTTAATAATAATAATAATAATAATAATAATAATAATAATAATAGTAATAATAATAATAATAATAATAATAATAATAATAATAATTATTATTATTATTATAATAATAATAATAATAATAATAATAATAATA